CCTAAGCCTGAGCCCTACCACACCCCTAAGTATCCTGAGATATAGCGTCTAATCCGTAAGACGAACTTTAGTACAATTCTTATTATAGGGACCCCGAAAAAGACCCAAAAAGGGACCTTAATGTTGCTGGGTAGGCCCCTGGGACAGTTTATATTTTCCCTAATGGCTTGAATAGGGACCCTATATACGAATATATCTCAATCGGGTTTAAGGGCCAACCCGGTTTGTATCCTAAACCCTAAACCTTAATTTTGTGAAAACCTCACATCAGGCTGCCGCTGCCAAGTATTCCGACGGACTGGATTGGCTATCGGACATCAGCCGCCGCTTGGCAGTTAAAGCAAGTTGGAACATCGGTATACAAAGAGACTCAGGGTGGAAAAACCCTACCTAAACCCCAAAAGTATGTAAAATAATAGCCCTAAACCCATAATAATCGCCATAAAGGCCATTATTTTACATACCGTCAGGGTCCAGATAAACCCTAAACCCTATCAATCATTCCATAGTTCAACTTCTGGCTTCTGAAGTAGGTCCATTATAGTTCTGTAGCACTTGTAGCCCAGGGTTTAGGATTTAGGGTGGGGTTGGGTGGGGTTTAGCGTCTAGGGGAGGGTCAGCAGTCTCATGCTACACTCCCCCAAACTATCATGGAAACCCAAATCTTTTGAGGGAACTGTAGTCCTTACAGGCACCCTTTTGAGTTTCCATGTTAGTTTGCGGGAGTGTAAGATTCGGCAGGATTTCGGATTTAGGGCCTTATGAGGGTGGAGTCCACGGGCGACATATTTTGAGTTCCCCCATGTTGCTGGACGGTGGGTAAGGTTTAGGGTTCAGGATTTCGGGTTTCGGGTTTTTGGGTTTAGGTTTTAAGGGTTTAGGATTTTAGGGTTCAGGGTTTTAGGGTTTTGGATTTTAGAGTTTAGGGTCTAGGGGGCATCTGCTCTGAGTTATACTGAAAGACTCATGTGGGTTTCTGCAAATGGGGACCCCTAGCCATGGGGGTCCTTATGGGGGTTACGACACGTATCTCTGAGTTCGCATGCTTTTAAGTATGCTCATGCATCAAACGATGTCAAGCTCCCTGGTTGGCATTGCAGCTCTTGTAGGGTTCCATGCAACATGCTTGGAGGGTCAGGGGACTTACGTATTAACTACGCTAATAACCCCTACATTCCATAGAACAATCCTAGTTATCCCCACTACTAACCTACTTCCTGAGTCTCCACGGCCCCCCTAAACCCTAAACCCTAAACCCTAAACGGATTTCTCAAAACGAGTCCGTCCCTTTACCCACAAAGAATTGTTTAGTCCTGAGCTGAGGCGACCTTTAAAGAGATCATGGGTTTAGGGTTCAGGGTTTTCGCCCAAACGACAAATCCTAGCATCAAGATGGCCTTGCCATGCCAAAGAAATGGAGGGTTTAGGGTTTAGGGTCTCTTCTAAACTTCGCAAACTCAAGAACGTCAAACCTTCACCCTGCCCACCCCTAAATCCCACATCCTACATCCCAAGCCCCAGACACCAAACTCTGAATCACTCCAAACCCTAAACCCTGAACCCCAAAACCCAAAGTCCTGAACCCTAAGCCTTATGAACCCTAAGCCCCAAACCCGCAATCCTGAACCCTAAACCCCACATCCTGAACCCTAAGCCTAAGCCCTAAATCCTAAACCCCCAATCCCAATCCTAAACCCCAAGCCCTAAACCCACACCTTCTACATCAATACGGTGAGTGCTGAAAATCCTCCATACTCCTACGTACCGTGTACCTTGGGAACACTGGTGCTATAATATACCAAGGCCATGCAGGATTTTAGTATCAACATCCAAACCCTAAAACTCACAAAGCCTAAACCCTAAACTTTACATTCCCTATAGAGCCCTTATATAACCCTTACATCTCCCAAAAGCGTCCTACATCAGTAGGACAGCAAGCCAACGATTTGCCACTGAGCCCAGGAGAGGAACAAGCCGTTCGGGAAGTCTTCATCGCCTTGTCCGCTGGCTTGCAAACGCTGACTTAGTAGTTACTTTCGTAGGCTTCCGGGTTAAGGGTTTAGGGCTATATAAGGTTTTAGGGTTTAGGGTTTAGGGAGTACAGGAATATACTCTCTATAAAATAGATTCCCTTATTTCCTATTCAAAACCAGCAAGTTGAGGGTGTTTAATTGACCCGTGGTTGCATTTACCTACGGCTTCGTGGTTCGTATTCATTGGTTACGAATCACGTACAACCTCCAGGGCATAGTAAAACGGAGTTGCAAGTAGGGTGAAAACGTATTGCAGTCTTACGGTTGGAGGCAGAATGCTGTAACTTCAGTGCGCGCCTACATGCCCGCCACAACCTTGCAAGCGGAAAGGGTATCATAGCCCTTCGAAGTTTGATATGTTGCAGCTATGCAGCCTGCACTGTAGAGTGTAAGTTAAGTGTGTTCTTTCCCAGTCTATGAGAAGGCGCGGCTTGCAACATATTATGGTATATTGTAGTCTTATAGCCGATTATAGTATATTATAGTTTGTGGCTGCCTGTTTTTCGTAGGGCGCTGGGCCCCGTAACTTGCAAGCCTAACTCCTAAGCCTAAATCCAATTGAGTAGCAAGTTATTTGAAGATGTCATAGTCCACTTGCTTATGGTGGTAAGAAGCGAAGTAAGATTGTTCAGCCACCAGAAAAAACAGGCGCTAAGTGCTCCTTCGACCAAGGTATCGCGGGCCTGATTCCCGACCCTAAACACTATACCCTAAACCCTCAGGTTTAGGGTTTAGGGTTTACCCCCTATACAGTAGTTTCCATTTTATTTTCCATTATCCCTTTCTGTTCTAACCCCTATATAACCCTAAACCCTAAACAGTAGTTTCCATCTTATTTTCCATTATCCCTTCCATTCTAACCCTTTCAGGACCCCAATATTATCCCTATATCGCCCCTAGAATCCCTGTAGTTTCCATTTTCTTTTCAATTATCCTAATATATTTGCAATATAACCCCTATATAGCTTTATTTTGAAGGCCTTTGGCCACCCGAAACAACAGGCTCAACGGCCCAACCCCTTGTGGGCCCCTCGGAGCCAGCTCCCCTACTTGAGGCTTTTGAGCCGCTTTCCCTCCGGGTCCTTTTTTTCTAATTTGGGTTTAGGGTGTACCTAAACCCCAAAAGTATGTAAAATGATAGCCCTAAACCCATAATAATAGCCATAAAGGCCATTATTTTGCCTACTCTTGGGGTCCAGGTAGGGTTT